CAGTGTGGCAAATGTTTGAATATGTGAGTTGTGTGGGCAGGAGCATCAGACTGAGGGGGTTGAAGGACCGAGTTCAATAAAGAAAGAGAAAAACTGTTGTTTTATAGTAACAAAAGTAGTCCATAAGCGGGCATAACAGTTAGGCGATTACACTTTCAATAAGCAATGTGCTAAATTCTTTTGCAATTCAAAATTACGACGAAATGGCTTCCTTTTGGTAAGTGGCAGAGCAAAAACTAAGAAAATCGGCCCAGACCCCGAAAAATGAGGCCCCTTTTTTCCCGTAGGTTTCCGCTGCGACCAAAACGAACTCATTTGCGTGTTAATCCCGATAGCCGTACCATACCAATAACCTGGGGCGGTATTCAATCCTTCCCCGAAGGGGTTGGGGACGAAAATCCCTTTAAATTTTCTCTGTCTTCCCAACTGGGATTGTCCTGATAAAGGGCCTACATTTAATGTGTGTGTAGGTCAAAGTAAACATGCATTGAAAATGAAGAAACTACATCGTTAAAAACAAATAAATTTAAAGGGATTTCCGTCCCCCAACCCCTGGGGAAGGATTGAATACCGCCCCTGGTCCTTCGACTGACAACACATTACATAGAAAACAAAAGAAAACGCCTCTTAAAATGGAATTATTCAATTGCATGGAGAGCCACGATCAGACGACTAACCATAAGGCCTTGTTTGGGTGCTACGGACTCATCCTCTGGAGCGAATTGCGCATCGTTCTGGGGCCTGCCTCCTTTCTACGGATTCCACTTCCACGATCTGACTTATTATGGGATCTTCCAACGTGGCATACAATGATCAATGAGGTTTGCGATGCGAAACTAGCGTTTGCATACTTTCGCTAGCTCACGGACGGTTCAGTAAATGAGGAGAAAGCGTCTCATGCGCTGCAGCATGAGACGAGGCATCCTCTCGGACTAAGCCACGGATGAAGCAGGACTACGGAGAGAACGAAAATTGCTCGCGTTTCCTGCAGTCTCCAAACCCTCGTCTAAGGCTCACTCGACCTCAACAAAAGGAGCTATTCCACGCAGCTTTGAAATTGCCACCATAATGCACCATACAACGATAGCGCCAACTCTCGATGAGATATCTTCACAGGATTCAAAATTGCCAGCGAGCCACAACATGGGAAATGCCTATGGACGAGACCGAAATAGAAACTCGCCATAGTGGCCTGTAAGCTACTTGATGAATTTTCCGGAACATCGTTAGAGCACAAACAAGCACAATAAAAATGCGATCGGAGGTATACACCGAGATGCTCGCCTCTTTGAAAAAATTTCCCGCGCGCGCACGTTCAAAGAAACTAGCACTGGAGCGAGCTTTCAATTAGCTGGAGAGCTTGGAGACACCGCAGTTTCGGCTCTTTTTGTCAGTTTTCAGTTTGTTCTTTGTACTGGTACCACCGCAGGCAAGAGGATGGATATTGATTTTAGAAGAGGAAGAATGATAACTAGGGAATGTGGCCGTACGCACGAGAGTGCTGATAGGAAGCGTCTTTAGATAGTAACGTGACGTTCTCGAGGTAGGGTTTAGACCCATCCCAACTGTTCACCTTAGTGGGTGGGCCACGCGTCGGCGCGGAGTCGCTCGCGGCTGGCATTTCGAATACGTAGGCCAGCCTAGGGGGTTGGGGGTGGGGGCAGTCACTTGACATGCGTGAAAAGCTGGAATGTTCGAGTTTACACTGTCTCGCTCGAGAGGGCCCAGGTGAGCAGACTGCCGCGCCGCCGCGTGCCCCCCCCAACTAAGTTAGCGCCCCAACTGTACTCTTTTTGAACCCACAACAAATCAATCATCGTTTTTCCTATCTATTGTAGCACTGACTTAGTATTTTGCGAGGCCTTTTCTTGAGGAAATTGTACAACATTAGTGTGTTGACGCTATTCCTCGTTGAATACACACTGGAGGCAACTCAGGGCAATTCCTGGATTTTCGCTACGACTGCTTGGATTTTTGGGTACTTCGTCCCAGTTAAGTTGTTAGCAAAGCCCATTATCCTTCGAAACATCCACAGCAGTGGTTATTAAGGGTGTTCCTGTCAGCGACCTAAGCAAAGGTAATTGGCATCGATTTGACACGAACATAAGCGAGGAAATAGGAACAGTTGTTGTTAATTTTTCAACATAATTTTTTGACGTAAACTGCATTGGGGATAAATGGATGCTACTTACCAGAGCATCAGCCGGTGGATATTAGTGAGTGCCTATTGGTAACAATCAGGAAGTTGCCGTAAAATTTCACCGGATGAAGTATCCGCCAATATTCATGTATTTCGGTTAGGTGCTCTCAATATAGTAAGTGCGCAAATCGTTTTGAATACAGTGACCTAGCTGTAAAAGGTTAGCCACCCTTGAAGGCAGAGCAATCTCAGCAGTTCCCCTAAAATATAAGATATGTAGTACTCATCCTCAGTGGGGCTCAGTCGGTGGGAATGGCAGCACGCGACAATCTGCGTCAGAGTTATGGAACGCTCAGTTTTAGGACTGAGCCCTAGAGGAGAAGAGGGGCTCCGAAGTGCGTAAGCAACTTTTCCCTAAAAAGTTCGTCTTCCTCCGTAGCTCAGTCTCAGAAGTCTTCCTACTCTTCACCCCCCCCCCCGCTTTGCAGTGTAGAACATTACCGAACAAAAAACACAATCGAACAAAAGTGACAAACATTAACTCTCAAGTAGTATCCATTTAGCAAAGTTCACTTTTCATTGTGAATCACGTCTACCTCCACTAATCGCACTCCTTCAGAATTTCCATAGTGACTCTAACACCAGTATAGCTGGGAGAAGGCTCGCTCCCAGTGCGACACTTGTTTAAACGAGCGCGCGCGGGAACATTTTTCAAAGAGGCGAGCATCTCGGTGTATACCTCCGATCTAAAAATGCGAAGTGCTGCGGTATTCGAATCTTTTCACTGCCTAGAGGAACATTCCAACCTCAGAAAAGCAGGAAAACAAGCAGAAATTAAACAGCTCACTACTTATAAGTTACCCTGCTCCTTCTTGAAAAAATAAAGTAAAAGAAAAATTTTAAAAAATGTGGACTATTACAAAAACGATTAGATACGTAGAAATATGAAGGAAAAAGCTATAAACTTACATTTACGACTAGGGTGAATAAATATCTGCTGCAGCGAACTTTGAATTTTACGTTGAGGCTGTTCTTCTTGATTTTGACAATTTTGGCATCTTTCCTTCGTGCCAACACCAAGAAATCCTTGATCTCAGTAATTTGCTTAGGCATCTTGATGAATTACCTTAACATGATGAAACTATTGAACAAGAAAATTATCACTAATATCAAACCACGGTACCGAAGCAATTGCGAAATTATTGAACATTCACCATAGTTTTCAAAGTGAAGAAAAAGGGTCATAACACAAACTCAAAAAGCGGAATGCCTTTCAGTGGCCTCGGTTCAATGAGACGTCCCAAAACAATTCTACAGTACAACGAGTGCATCAAAACCTTTTCTTTAAAGAAAGTGCGGATGAATCCAGGCATGCATTAAAAAGCTGACAACCCACTTCGAGTAAAATAATCAATGACAGTGTAAAAACATATCCAACTCGCGTTGTTGGCAAACGCCGGCAATGACCAGTTGTGGCAACTATATTGTGCCACACAGCCGTTTACAGTTGCAGGTTTTTTCGATTGAAGCGCGCCATGCCTTCCAGGTTATTTGTATGTCGATGTTTTTTGTGGCCAGTACCACGAACATGAGACCAAGATACGCTAACGCGCTTATAGAATGACCAAATATTCTTTAGTTTGGCAGAGGTTTTTCGGACCGGAAAATATCCGTTCAGTTCATTCCTCATTTTCTCTTCATTAACACGAACATGTAGATAAAAAAGAATATTAGAAGTGAGTACAAAGCTACTCGTGTGGCAAGATATGTGTTTTTACCGAAACAACCACGTCCAAAATAATTTTGAAATCACTAAAGCAAAAGTAAGTGAAACTTGCCTTTTCAATGCTGTAACTTCATTCGACGACCGCACTTTCACATCATGTGCCCTTCCAATAAGTTTGACACACCGAATATCAGTGAAAACATTTTGTCGCATCGAAGTATTGCGTATTTAAAGCTCAAAATCCACAGATTTGTTGTGAGGCGGCGGCGCTCGCAGAACCGCTCTGGTCCCACGCGGCCAAAAATGCCAAAACGCGCGATGTCGTCAACGTGTTAAATTGGCATGTATGTTCTGGGTGCTATCTTAGTTGGGAGGGGGGGGGCCAGGCGGCGGCGCGGCGCTCTGTTTGCCTCCTCTTGCAAGGCTTAGTCCTGGGGCGGTATTCAATCCTTCCCCCAGGGGGATATATCCCCCTACTCTGATTCAATCCTCTGGGGGGACAAAAAAGGGTTGCGTCATAGGACCTAGCATACCTCTGTGTTTCTACCTGCCAGACAGTTAGAGCAGCGCGACCCCTCAGGGAAAAGAGTGCTTCATCAGTGGAGGGTAGTAGCGCTGCTCTAACTGTCTGGCAGGTAGAAACACAGAGGTATGCTAGGTCCTATGACGCAACCCTTTTTTGTCCCCCCAGAGGATTGAATCAGAGGAGGGGGATATATCCCCCTGGGGGAAGGATTGAATACCGCCCCGGATGGCGCCTATTTCGAAACTGTCATGTATGGCGAAATAGTAACTGCGGCTCTATACAAGTGGGATGGGCACGTCCAGCTTTTCACGCATGTCAAGTGGCTGCCCTCACCCCCACCCCCTAGATTGGCTACACTCCCCCTGGCTCACGAATTCCCCGATTCTGGTGACAGTACAGCAGCGGGCAACAGTCCTACTGACATACTTTTCTGTTCAAAAAATGCGGCGACATTACTTGTATAGCACCGTAACTGCCCCTGGGACTAAGCCTTTTGAGGAGGAGACGAACAGAGCGCCGCGCCGCCGCGTGCCCCCCCCCCCCCCCCAACTAAGATAGCACCTAGTTCTGTTGGCCCTTGGAACTTTGAGAGATATTACTTTTTCTGACATGCATTTTAAGTCAGCAACAATGAAAAGCGAGTAGATTTCTCGCTCCAGTCGCTTCGTAAAATCGTTTAAAGGGCGGCAAAGAAAGGGGTCCCAGCAGGAGGCTATCGTAATCAGCTGAATTGAAACGATTTTCCATGGTTTGGCCTACGAATGCTACTTCGCTTTTTGGAATG